AATGATATGTTGGCTGATGGCTTTTCATAGATAGCCTTTATTAAATTGAGGTATAGACCATCTATTCCAATTTTTTGCAGGGTTTTTATCATGAATGGGTGTTGAATTTTATCAAATGCTTTTTCTGCATCTATTGAGGATCATATTATGCTTTTTCTGCATCTATTGAGAGGATCATATGGTTTTTGTCCTTGACTTTGTTAATATAATGTATTACATTTATTGACTTTCGTATGTTGAACCACCCTTGCATCTCTGGAATAAATCCGACTTGGTCAGGATGGATGATCTTCTTAATAATCCTCTGTATTCTGTTTGCTAGTATCTTATTAAGGATTTTTGCATCTATATTCATTAAGGAGATTGGTCTGTAGTTCTCCTTTTTAGTTGTATCTTTCCCTGGTTTGGGAATCAAAGTGATACTTGCTTCCAGGAATGAATTTGGAAGTATAGCTTCCCTTTCAATTTCATTGAAAAGTTTGAAGAGTAATGGTAGTAGTTCTTCTTTAAATGTCTTGTAAAATTCAGCAGTGAATCCATCAGGGCCTGGGCTTTTCTTTGTTGGTAAGTTTTTAATTACATTTTCAATTTCACTGATTGTGATTGGGGTATTTAAAATGTTTTTATCTTCTTCATTCAACTTTGGTAGAATGTACCACATTTTCTTACTCGTCAGTTTATGGACATTTGAGTTCTTTCTACCTTTGGTTATTATGGGTAACACTGGTGAGAACACAGGTACTTTATATTTACTTATTTTTATTTTTTGGTTATTTTGAGACAGGGTCTCACTATGTAGGTGAGACTGACCTGGAACTCACTATGTAGCCCAGGTTGGTCTCGAACACACAGTGATCCTCCTGCCTCAGCCTCCTGAGTGCTGGGATTACAGGTGTGTGCCACCACACCTGGCCTTGTACTTTTTTTTTGGTACTGGGGATTTAACTCAGATCCTTGTATTTGCGAGGCAGGCAGTGGAACCACTGAGCTAAATCTCCAGCCCATTGATTGCATTTCTTGATGAGTTTAACAATGTTGAGAGTCCTGTCCTGTCCTTGGACATTTGTGGATCTTCTTTGGGGAACTGTCTATTCAGATCTTTTCCATTTTACTTTCATATTTGTTGCAGTAGGAAATCCTGACATAAGTGCCTGTAAATGAACTGCATGTGTGCTGTAAAGGCGAGGTCATTGGTGCTCTGAAAGGTGTAGCCCAGGACAGCTGACCAGGTCAGGTGGTGGGGGACATGGGGGAGGCTCCTCTTTAGCTCATTGACAACTGAGCTGAGACTTTAAGGGAGAAAAGGAACCAACCAGGTGGCGGGTATCATAGATGGACAGGAATGTCTCACGGAGCCACAGGACATGTCTGGAATTGCAAATGTGGAGGAGAGACAGTTTCGCTTCTGTGCCGGGGATGTTTCCACTCCCTACGTCCCCATACAGGGGTACCTGTCATCCAGGCCTCTCTTGATCATCAAGGGAGCATCTAGAAGTATGTGAAGCTGTTATATTTTGCTTTGTCCTATGACAGTGACCGGGGCGTTCCTGACTTATTGAAAAGGAACCCATGCAATATGGTTGAGGCATTGTTTGAGTGTGCCCCCTCCCCCACGTGGGTTGAGATTTAATCCTATTGCATGCATTTACCACATTTTGCTATCTATTTATTTTTTTGGCTGGGGATTGAACTGGGGTCCTTGTGCTTGCTAGGCAGGCAGTGGAACCACTGAGCTAAATCCCCAGCCTGCTATCTGTTTAAACAACAGTGGACACTTAGATTGCTTTTGCAGTTTAGCTGTTGTGAATGATGCTGATATGAACACAGATGGACAAATATCTCCTAAAGACCATGTGTTTTAGTCCATTTTTCATTACTGTAATGAAATACTTGAATTGGGTAATATAAAGAAGAGAGGTTTATTTTGACTCAGTTTTGTTCCCCACAGTGCACAAGAGTTTTGGTTTCCCCACGTCCTCTTTAAGACTTGTTATTTTCTGTTACTTTGCTAGCAGCTATGCTAATGGGTGCGAAGTGGTATCTCACTGTAATTTTGATTTACATTTCTCTAATGATTAGTGATGTTGTGCATCTTATTGTTTGCTTATTAGGTATTTGTATATCTTCTTTGAAGGATGTTTATTAAGATCCTTTGCCTCATCTTTCAAATTAGGCCTTTTACACTTGATCTTAGCCAAAAGGCCGAGAAGCGATCAAATTAGGCCTTTTAAATTCTTCTTTTTTTTTTAGTACTGGATATCAAGCTTGGATCTTTGAGCTTGCGAGGCAGGCGGCAGAACCACTGAGCTAAATCTCCCACCCAGGCCTTTTAAATTATTATTGACTTGTAAAGAGTTCTTAATATGTTCTGGATCCATGTCACTTATCAGATGCATGATTTTTGAATATCCTCTTCTCTTCTGTAGATTGTTTCTTTGCTTCTCTGACGGTGTTCTCTCAAAGTACAAGTTTTAAAGTTTGATGAAGTTCAGCTTTTCTATTTTTCCTTTGGTTTCTTGTGGTTTTGGTATCATCTCTAGCCTAACCCAAACTTACAAAGACTATCTGTTTTCTTCTAAGAGTTTTATAATTCATTTTGGTTCTTACATTTAGGTCTTTGATGTATTATGAGTTAATTTGGGGTAATGATGTGAAAAAGGGATTCAGCTTCATTCTGTGGATGTGGATATTCAGTTTTCCCATAACCATGGGTTCAAAAGATTGTTCTTTCTCCAATGAATTTTTTTTTGTTTCCTTGTTGAAAATCAGCTCATTGGGATGGAGGTGTAGTTCAGTGCTATAGTGCTTGCATTAGACCTAGGTTTAATTCTTGGCACTAAAAAAAAAATAATAATATATTGATAATGAAACAATCAATTGAATGTGAGGATTTATTTCTGTATTCTCCGCATTCCATTATTTTGTGTGACTGTCCTTGACATTGTCTGGATTACTCTAGCTTTGTAACAAGCTTTGAAATTTGAAAGTGTGAGTTCTCACCTTTGTACTTTTTCTTTTTTTTTTTTTTTTTTTTTTTTTTTTTTTTTTTTTTTTTTTTTTTTTTTTTTTTTTGTGCCAGAGATTGAACTCAGGACCTTGCACCTGTGAGGCAGGTGGCAGAAACACTGAGCTGAATCCCCAGCCCAACTTTGTACTTTGTAAAGATGGCTTTGGCTATACTTTGAATTTCCAAATGAATTTAGAATCAACTTAACAGTGTTTGAAAAAACTTAGGATTTTGTTTTGTGTGTGTGTGTGTGTGTGTGTGTGTGTGTGTGTGTTTTGTTTTTAGAGGCAGGGCTTTACTGTGTAGTTCAGGTTGGCCTTGAATTCACTGTGTAGCCCAGGCTGGCCTCAAACTTGAGGAAGTCTTCCTGCCTCAGCCTCCTGAGTGCTAGGATTACAGGCATATGCCACCAAACCTGTCCTTTTTGATGTTCTTATAAATGAGTGTCTTCTCAGTCTTATTTTAAGAGATCGTTTTAATAGAAATATACTTGATTTTATATACAGTATTGTTTTTTTGAAAGAGTTTGTAAACTGATATCAGTTGTTTCTTAAATGTTTGATAGAATTCATCAGTGAAGTCAATTGGGCTTGGGCTTTTCTTTGTGGTAGGGCTTTTATGTTTTTTTACCCCCTAATTCAGTGTTGGTATAAACTTTTGTACCATTTGAATTTTTCCAATAGCATTTAGATCTTCCAGTAAGACATTAAAATTTTTGGCAGAGCACAAGCTTTGGAAAATTGACAGACCTAAGTTCAAATTCCATCTCTGGAACTTTTTTTTGGATCTCTGAATCTTAGGTCCCTCCCTACAAAGAGGGTAGCAGTGCAGTGTTGTAAAGCTGATGGCCCAGATCTGTCATGCAGAGAGCTAACAGCTGGGCCCCAGTACCAGGCCCTGAGTAGCTTTTATTTGTTTTGTTTTTTGGCACCAGGGATTGAACTCAGGACCTTGTGCTTGGGAGGCAGATATGGCATCACTGAGCTAAATCCTCAGCCCTGTTTTGGTTTTTGACTTAGAAAAATAGATTCTACAGAGTCCAGGTTGGCCTTTAACTCACTATGTAGCTGGGGCTGGCCTTGAATTCATGGTGATCCTCCTGCCTTAGACTTCTGAGTGCTGGAATTACTAGTGTGTGCCACCATGCCTAGGTGGCTTTTTTTTTTTTTTTTTTTTTT